TATCATTTGGTAAACGTGCATAATACGAACGTACAACACCGTGTCCCCCTCAGTCAATTTCCCCTATCCGAAACTCTTTAACGTGTTTCGATAAAATGTTGTAACATGGATCTACAGCAAAATACACCGAACATAACTCAATAAAATCTTCTCGGGCAATCAGACGCGTTAACTAGCTACCGTAGTAAACCGACGTTTCGAGCACCAACTCTGTCCCCATCATCAGGGTTCTGATGTGACGGTAACCAGTTAACGCGTCTGATTGCCCGAGAAGATTTTATTGATTGTACTCTCCGCGAAAGTCTCAAATCCTATACCGAACATAACTGTTGAGAGCGATTAGTTTTTATTTGTTTGTGTCAAAGTAATATCGAGTTTGAACTCGACTCTGAGGCACGCTATTATATTTAAGTCTTCTGCGATTTTACTCAGACCCACCACAAAAATTTAAAAACTTATGATTAATTTATTTCCTAGTTTTTTCCATTCCACAACCATATTATATACTATGTAAACTATGCAGTTATAAAGTGTAGTTAAATGCTTGAATATTCAATCAGTTATGTATTTGTGCTTAACTAAGACCTGCAAGCCAACACACAAAATTTCCTTAGATTTTTCTTCAAAGAACAGTTTCAAAATGCATTCTCAGTGTAAAAATAATCTTGTCGATGTGGTAGTACCTTAGCATATAATGGAGTAATAAATTATACATCAGTGTCATGTTTATGATCGTATATGTTATTAAGAATTTATGCGCTTTCTGATATTTGTTTATAACAAAGACTTCCTCGTAATTTCACAATTTATTATTTATTCCATTATGAACAGTACGTAAGAGATTGCGCATTGCGGGTTGCCGGAGGGACAGTGATTGATGGTCTGTTCTTTGATGAAGTTACATAGAAATGGCGTGTAATAACATAAAAAGAGCAAGTTTGTTCCACACGAAATAGAGAACACCTGACACACAGGAGGCTGTTTGAGACCCAATATCCAACGCTTCAGCTTCTTCTTCTTCTTCTTCTTCTTCTTCTATGGCTCTCCGGTCCGTATTCGGTCCATGGCCTCCTCAATTCTCCTCTTCCATTTGGTCCTCTGTTAGGTCCGTCTGTCCGAGGCTTTGATTGAGGTTTCGAAACATCTTCCTTTTTATGGTGCAAGGTTGTTAGCTTCAGCTACGGAAAGCTTAAGAATTCTGATTAGTTATTCCGTGTTCTATATTATACGAGGAAAAAACAAATTTGCTGTTTTATAGTCAATACTTTTTTCCAAAAATATGATTAGGATAATAAAATTAAGGAGAAAAATATGGACGGGGTAAGTAGCACCTGTGGGAGAGGTGAGATACAAAATCGGAAACCTCAGTGATAAACAGCATTGTTCAATTGATGTTTGTAATGGAAATGCTTTGTTTCTTTGAAGTGTGTCGGAAAATTTAAAAGTATTCAGATAAGTTCTGTGCTTCAGAGAGTTGATAATGATTTTGGTAATGTCTGAACAGAGAAGAACAAGATTCAGATCGGGCTGAAACACGAAAGGAAGTACAAGGATGCATACGCAAATAGAAGACTGGCAAACGCTGTTTTACTGTCGCACAGATTCTGAAACACCGAGTGGCAAAAAAAGTGAATTACCACCTTATAGAACTGCCTAATTTCAAAGGATATTTGAACAATTTTCTGCTAATGAACCCGAGGTATGTTAATTATTGTGCAGTGCAAATGCAGAAGGTCAAACTATACTGCGTGGGAGTGAACCCACGTAATCCTCGTTGCTAGGCAACGCCTGTAAACTTGTACGTCATGTGTTTACATTAGATGTTTGTCCACCTGACGGTTTTATTCACAAGAATGATTGTCATTGGAACAAATATACTGCAGTCTATGTAATAATTCAGTGTCCTGCTGTAACGAATTTAAGCCATTTTCAAATAGAATCGAGAAATGAAACACTGCACATGAGAAGAGCTATTATTTGCTGTCAAGAAAAATCGAAAGTCTCAGATAAGTGACGTGGGTTGGAATCCCATGGTAGTGTTGTGGACATTTCTTTACAGTACTCATTCTCTTGAGATTAATTCGGGGCGAAAATGGCAAAGGATAAACTGTTCAAATAATAACCTTGGATATTATTATCATCCTAACTTGATTAATTAACGACGTCTCGGAGCCTGGAATCTGTCTCCAAAACTGCATCTATCGATTGAGTCTAATAGAGTAAATGTTACTTGAGGACATAGATTCCAGTCTCCGAAACGTCACATTCTAATCAAATTTGGGACGATGGACAGTGTTCAAGAATTTGATTTTTCAAAAATACGTCGTTGTCACATACATTCAAATTTTATAAAAATGTTTGTTTTGGTCAGCTTGTTGCAAAGGAAATAAATTGTTAATTTTCCAGTGTAAAACAAATATTGATCAAACATTTGAGAAAGAATGTTCTTCTGTATCAGAAGGCGTTTGATCCATGGGACATAAAATCTATAGAATAACAAACGATGCTACTGCCACACGAAATGTGTGTTCAACTTTCTGGCCTTCCTAGGAGAATTAATCAAATTCCAGAACTAGACATTTGCATTTTGGTGTTTAGGTAGATCAAATAGACTACAAATTGCGTATTGAAATTTTGGTTTGTTTTGCCCCTAGTAGTTCAGCAAAACCTCTGTGAAGCATAAATAGAACATTTTAAATTTTACCAAAAACCAGCCCACCATAATCAATTGCCTAATTAAGTACCGTCATAAAAATATTTTGAACTTTGTGTGAAATATTTAACGATATTGCTAATACTTAACGGAGCACAAGAGAAGCGACCTATGTTTCTTTGCAGTGTAATAAGTCTGTCAGCAATGTTCATTAGCTTTACACCAGTAAAGGCGATTATTCATATCTGCATTAATGGACATTGAATTCAGCAAATAATTAAGATACTCCAAATGGAATAATGAAAGTAATAAATAAAGAAATGGGCCTAAATGAGGGGGATCTATAGAGAAGGAACAAGGAGAGATATAAGAGAGAAAGAGAAGGACAGATCGAGCAACAGGGAATAGAAACAGCGAAACAAAAAACAAAAACAAAAATGAAAGAGAAAGAGAAAAGTTTTGAATGAAGAAACGAAAGATCAAGAAAAAAGGGAATATAAAACGAAAATAAAGATAGAAAGAGAAAATGGAGAATAAGAGGCATGAAAGTAGGAGTAAAGCGATACGGGAATAAGAAAAGATCGACGGAAAGGAAGAGAGAGAAACAAATAGAGCGAAATATGTAAAAAGGATAAAAGATGAGGGAAAAATAAGGAAAAAAGAAAGACGGACACTAAGATAGATCTTACTGTTCTTATTTTGCTGTCAGATATTCACTCTTCAGTGAACAGAGCAGAAGTACATGGAGCGGAATGTGAATTTGTTTATTGAACACCGTGTGATTCGTTATCGCCAACGAATTCAGCTGCAGTTACATTTTCACTTTCTGTCTGCCCTATCAGCCAGTACTGGGTTGACTTCCGGCGCTGTAGGAATCATCATGCATTCGCAAAACCACGACAGATTACAGACGGAGGAAGCAATTAGCCAATTCATCACGGTGCCCTGACCAGTAACAGTACGACAAAGCCCGCTGCAAGGACAATGCAGCTAATTATTTTTAAAAACATTCTGTTGGGATTTCAGGGCTTTGCCTGTTTTTTGTTGTTGTTGTTTTTTTTTCAGAGGCGGGCCTTGTCTCTCGATGTACTTTGTCCAAAATAGTACTCGACGAATTTGAAGTAAATTTTGTTCTACAAATATTTGTCGAGGGAACTTATTTTTCTGCTCTTTGAGGCCCAGAGTAAGACATTTAAATAGGCTTAAATCTATCTTAATAAGTTTCTGTAAAAG